TAACAAGGGCCATTTTGAACAAGCACAATAGCTCATAGATTAAAACAAGAAAAATAGAGAATTTAAAGCTGAGCTTAGCACAGTTTATAGTATTAAGTTGATCTGTATGAATCCTAAGGTAGATCTACACAAAAACTGCAGTAACAGTGCATATTAAGTTCAATTTCCTAACTTAAGGACAGTAAAAAATTTTTACCGTCCCTCTAGTTTCTGTGTGACAAAAAAATCTGGGGTTTTTTATGTTTAAGGGAAGGGTCCCAAGTGATTGCTTTACAGAATATTGTTGAAAACTTCAGATGCTTCTCTTTCTATGGCCAGTAATGGAAGGAGATCACCATATGAATTCTGTAGGGCTCTGTGCAAGGACCTACGCTGTTCAGTATATTTGTAAATGACCTATGAAAGGTGAGTGAGAAAGCTTGTTGATGACACAAAATATTTCAGAGTAGAAAAGAGCCAACAGTGAGGAATGGCAGAAAGATCTTACCAGAATTAGTAAATAGGCGCTAAATTAAGGAATGAAATTCTTTGGTAATAAATGTAATAATGTAACACATGGGGAAAAAATAAATCCCAGCTTCATATATAAATGGGATGAAATTTTGGTGTTATGACAGTTCCATGCAAGCATCATTTCAGTGCTCATTAGCGATCAAAATCAAATAAAATATTATGAATTAGCAAAGAAAAAAGGAGTGACCACCATAAAAGACCATGGTTCTGCCACATCTTGAATATTGTGTGCCATTCTGGGCTTTTCATCTTAAAGACAGGACTGAGAGTAGAACTGAGGAGGCTCAGAGAAGGAAACAAAGGAAATTCAAAGGTATAGAATGGCTTCTGTGCAAGGAATTATTCCTGTGACCCAGGAGGCTGGTACTCAAGGCAGGAGAAGTGATCAATATTTGTTTACCACTATGAATAGGTATAGCTGAGGCTTGTACTGGTGGTCTAGAAGTAGGCTTCTTTTTGTAGCTAGAAATCATCAAATTTTCCACTCACTGATATTTGTAGAATAAATATGTAAAGTGTAGCAGCAAAGTGTAGCATGGGAAATGTGGATAGAGACTGAAGTTTCCATCTGGAGAACGAACGGTTCTCCAAAGAAGGTGTCAGGACCCAGGTTCAAAACAATCAGTAAGAGGGAACAGAGCTGTGGAACTCATTGCTGAAGGATGCTATGGAGGTTACAAAGGGTCAGGGGAGAGTGGACAAATGCACAGAAGAGTGGTCTACTGAGAGTTACTGAAATGGAAAACATATATACAGAAACCATATCTAGCAGAGGAAACTAGAAATATTTGACAGCTGGGAAAAAATTAGGGAACTATCACATGCTTGCCACATTCTTGCTCTTCTCCAGGCATCTCTTATAGCTGCTATTGGAGACAGGACATTTTTCTAAATGAGTCTTTGGTCTGATCCTGCATAGCCACTTTTGTGTTCTCATTTGACACAGTAGATCATGATTTACTGTTCCATTTGTCAGATTCATCTGAGTGTGCATTTTTTGATCAACCAATCCACATGTTTATTCTTTCCATGTCATGTAGCAAAAAGGCTTGTAAGTTAAAACCAGAGAGGTCTGTTTATGTGAAATATTAATGTATCTGGTTTTCCATGTTTGTCCTCTCTTTCCAAAGTATGGGTTTGTAACAGGTGCAAGTGTTTTCTGTGTTTTACTCCCCCCTGTTATAATCATGTCTCCATTAACTTTCATTCTCAGTTTCTTTTTTATGGTCAAATTTTTGTGGAATATTGGCTTTGACTTGTCTGGAAATTATTCACTGAATAAAATATTTCCATGCCACCAGTAACTTTGTACAGTGTGTAGACAGGTATAGAAAGAAAAAATTATCGAAGTAGCATAGTAAACGAGGTCCAGATTTTCCTCCACCCATTATGTAAACAGGCTTAATGAGAGGAAACTGGATCCAGAAAAAATTTTCTGAGTGCTGTCCTGCCTTAATAATAGTCCAGCTTACAGTTCTGTCCACCAGTACTCTCCTACCCGTGCTGTATCTGAGATATCTGACCGAGGAAAGAAAATTCTGAATCCTTGTATGCAGAGCGTATGCAAACACAGTGCTGCAAAATTCTTATAGTGCTATGCCAGCAAAAACAATCTTGGTTTTGATTAGTTATTTACCTGAAGAGAGAGATTTTTCTACCTTGAGTATTAGATTGTTTGTTTACATTTTCATTTGCCCTCAAGTAGTCATACATTCAGAGGAATAAATACATAATTTCTAAACTAATACTGTAATTATAGGTAATGAACTGTAATAGAGCTAGAATAGAAGGAAAAGAGTGAGAAATCAAGAGGCATTCTGTACCTCTTTGAATGATTATTTTTTTAAATCTCAAATTGATCAGTCTTAAATTAATGTTAATATACCTATGGTTGATTTTACACTGATAAGATATCTTAAATCACCACTTGAGGCCTTCATGGCTTCCCGAGATCCCTTTCCAACTTTGCTTTCTCTGCTCCAAATGTTTAGGTTTGACCTGACAAAGCATTCAAGGCTCCGTGTCTTGACAGAGAACTCCAAAATTTCTGAGGCAAATAAATTGCCTATCCTTTAGGAAGTCCTAAATGAACTACACTTATTCATTAAAATACTTTTAATGATGTTAAACTTCATAATAAAAAAATCTTCACCCTCAAAAAGGAGGATACAGAATGAATGGAGTATTCTATTTTAATGGAGTAAAAACTGAATCACAGATCAATTCCTGTGTCTTTTTTAATGACACTTTGGGATATTGTTCCCAGTGAAACCACTGTCTTTGCTCCTTCCTAGAAGCAGCAGCAGAAATGGAATAACTATTTGTCATTATCCGCTGGAAAAGAGTTACCAGGCAGTCAGCTCCTTGTACCTTTTTGATATCAGTAAACTTTACTAGGTAGTGGAAATTTGTACTTTCCATTAAAAGTACAAGACCGGAACAAAAAGGTCAGTCTGCCGTGCTTACTGAGTGCTTTTCCACTGACATTTGTAGCATTGGAAAAGCATTTCTAAATCTTTTTGCTCCTTGCTTTTGTTCTATACAGACACTGCTGACATCATAATAATTCAAAACCACTTCTAGCTATGCAGTCACAGAGGAAATCCCCCTCCTCAGCCCTTTTGCAACATTGATATATTCCACTGTAGTGGTGTTGTGGGTTAACCCCCGTGGACAGCTAAGCACCACACAGCTCCTTGCTCACTTTCCACCCCTCCCCCAGTGGGACAGGGGAAGAGGAAAGGAAGAATAAAAGCAAGAAAATTTAGGGGGCAAGATAAAAAAAAAAGTTTAATAAGTGAAGAATTAGGGGAAAAAGAGAGAAGAAAACAAAACAAAACAAGTCATGCAAAGGCAACACTCAACACCTCCAACGGGTAGAGCGATGCCCAGCCAGTTCCTGAGCAAAAGATGGCTAACCCCCCCTAAAACCCCATCTATTCCTTTTAATTGCTAAACATGATGTTATATGGTAGGGAATATCTCTTTGGTTAGTTCAGGTCATCTGCTCAGTTGTGTCCCTTCCCAACCTATTGCTCATCCCCCCAATCTATTCACTTGAGGGGCCGAGAGAGAAACAGGGAAGGCCTTGATGCTATGCAAACACTCTTCAGCAAGAGCTAGAACATTAGTGTGTTACCAGGGTTTGGGGCAAAAATCTAAACCACAGCACCATATGAGCTGCTCTGAAGAAAATTAACTCTTCTCTAGCCAGGCGCTGTACAAATGGGCCAAACTTTTCAATGTTTCGTCTAGGAGTGGCACTTCGATGTGAAAAGGCAGCAATTCTGGTTATAGTGAACTTATTGATAAGGTAGAGGATTCAAGTTTCTGAATTATGTGCAAATATACTCAAAGAAGAGGACAAAAAAGCCACCATAGAATTTGGGCTGCCCGGTTGTTTTAGCTCACCATTAGCCATTTTAAATTGGCTCTTTTTTCATGCACTGCTAAAACATGTCTATGTTTCAGTAAGCTGGTTTTCACACTACTAAGTGCAAAATCTCATGGATTGGCATGATCTTTCCTGTATTATTGCAGCCTTGTGGTTGGAAAGAAGAGAGACAGAAGACAGTTGTGGATTAGTTCATGTGAAAATAACTGCTGCATTTGCAGAAATTCTATTACGCAGCAATGCTCTGTATTATTGGGTGTGTGGGTCTCTGAGGATTCATATAGCTACTTTCTATAGCACGTAGTATACTAACAGTATATGAAAAAGCAGTAGGCTGGAAAATGTTAGTGAAGAACAGTGAATTCTAGAGCTTTTTTATTAACCCTTGTGGGCTGTTTTTTCTAGTGCTTACACAGACACTTGACTAGGGAGGGCAGGTTCAGGCCTTTAATCATAAATGCAGCCAGTTACCCACATTGAAAATCACAAACAGAGGTCTTAGGGCTAACCGCATGACCAGAAGTCTTTCAGGTATTACAAAATCGATGACAGTAACGATCAATTGTATTTGTTAGATCAGGTATGAAGCAGTATAACATGCATGGAATCTGAATCATCCATTTCCATGTAATATACTAGTTTTCAAAAAAACCCCACAAGTATTGGATCTGTCAGCAACTATTTCAGAAAATACCTGCTTCCTTTCCTTGGTGTTCAGTTTTATACATCTGAAAAAGAGACCTTCCCTTTAAAAGGTTTTTATACTGTTATATCTTCTTAGATGAAACTTGTAGTGTAATCCTATGAAATGTAAATCATTGGATGCAGAAGGGAAAACAAAGGAAAAACAAGCTGTGAGCAAAGAAAAATATATGGGTAAGCAATCTGTATCCTACCTACAGATTGCAGGTATACTAGCTCTGCTAGCTAACTGCTTAGATTCATAGCAGGTTGACAGATTCATGCTAGACAGGCACATTTTTTCTTTTAACCACATTTCTCTTCTTATTTTGCACTCCTTCCCCATATGCCACAGCAAAATTATATTCTGAGTCTCTCCCTGTGACATCTTCATTGCTGCTTCATTAACCAGTGCACCATCAGTGCATTTCATTACAGCTTCTCTCCTGGCTCACTGTGTTGATTCTAAGATGCAGCTACAAACTGCTTATCAAAATGGTAGTCTGTGTTTTAATCCTTCCTTCCATTCAAAAGAGGAGGAAGTAATCTTTTTGGCACAATCCTAAGTAAAACCCATATTTTATCTATTACCCTTACTGGCCCACCAACCTGAAATGCACTGGGGAGGTATAGTGTGGGATGTGACAGATTTATTTACCTATTTGTTTACTGTAAAAGGCTGGGGGTGTACCTCCTATGTGATCAGTGTATTAAGACAATTTAGACTGATTTTATGTATGTGCCTTCAACTGACCTTGAAAAAATACTGAAGTTAATGAAAGCATGCTTCAATTCCATGATCGTTAGGAAATGAAAAGGCCATGCTGTGATAGATATCCTCCGTGACATATACCTCCAGTTGTACCAGTAGGGAGGGGCCATGATTTAAATACTAGCTGGTTTCCAGTGGGTTTCCTGGGTTGGGAATACACTCAATTCATTTTTAAGTGAAGAGAAAGATATAACTGCAAGTATGATAGGAACACGTAAATCAGTGCCAGAACAGAGAGGAGTAAAACAGGCATATTCAGGATCTCCTGTGTAGCCATGAAAAGGGAAATAAGAAGCTTGATGGCCTCTTCAGAGCAGTCCAAATGTTACAAAATGTGGCAGTGTGTCTGGTGTGAGTTTTTAGGGGGAATGGGACTAAGGGTGTTTTCAGTCCCTTCCCACCCACCCGCTGCCCCCTGCCAGTTCCAGCCCTCACTGCTATGCTCTGTCAGAGCTTTCTACTAGTGCTGCATGTTAGGCAGCTGTGAGGCTGCATCTGTTCTCTGTTTTCCACACAATTAAGGCAAAGAAAAAAAAAATATAAATAAGACAAATTGCTCTGACACTAAATTATGTGAAAATCTATGTCTGAAGATTATGATTTTGTAGGAACTTGGTGCAAGATTTTTTCTTTTTTAAAAATGTGATTTTGCAGGATTTTTTTATTACTACTTTTAAACTGGTGGCCCTATTTTTCTTGTAAATACAAAAATGGCTTTCTATCTTGCACAGATCACTTTTTGGTTTGGGGAGGAAAGTGTGAAAAAAGAAGTGAAGTGAGGAAGGAGAAATGTGTGTCATACTAGAGATACAGACAAGGCAAATCAGTAGCTAGTCTGTAAGGGACTATAAGAAAAGACTGTGACTCTTCTTGCATCAAATGAGGTACAGCACACAGTATGCACAGTTGTCAACGCAAAACTCATTAAAATCTTCATTATTCTTTTACTTATATTGTAGTTGTGACTGAAGGTCCCAGTCAAGAACACAGACCAATGTGTACTCATAAAAGGAGTAGGGAAATTATATTACTATTATTAGATTTATAATGACACGGACTCTGAACATGGTCAGGCTGGCACCACCAAGACAGCACCCTGACAGTGGCCTCCAGGGGCAGCAAAAATAAAAGAATGTGACTGATGGTGGAAGACACAGTCACTTTGCAGAGATAACATTCAAGCAAGAGTACTTCACTCTGAGATGAGAAATGGCCAGTGAAAGCCACATACAGACTGGTGATGACATGGCTGTGTCTCTTAGTTTTTGCAGTACTTCATTACATACTCATCACTTACAGGCATCATAACAGAAGTGGTTTTCAGGCTGAAGAATAAAGTGAATGACTGGAATTAAATCTGAAGGCCAATGTAAAAGACTGGCAAAGAAGAATTAAGTAATAACTGCTTGGAAATAAGAGGAAAACAGACATTTCTGTTTTGTTTTACTGAATACAAAGATATAAATTAATTTATCAAAAAAAATTCCCTATGATTTTGAAATCTGATCATTTTGTTCTCAGGTGGGAATGATGGGGTTTGTATTACATATCTCAATATATCTTTTCTTTCTTCTTCCCTTCTTTCTTTTTCAGGTTACCTGTGCAAATTTAACAAATGGAGGAAAAACAGAACTTCTAAAATCAGGAAGCTCCAAATCCACACTAAAACACATATGGACAGAAAGTAGCAAAGACTTGTCCATCAGCCGACTTCTGTCACAGACTTTTCGTGGAAAGGAAAATGATACAGATTTGGACCTGCGATACGATGCCCCAGAAACTTATTCTGAGCAAGATCTCTGGGACTGGCTGAGGAACTCCACAGACCTGCAAGAGCCTCGGCCCAGAGCAAAGAGACGGCCCATCGTCAAGACTGGGAAATTTAAGAAAATGTTTGGCTGGGGCGATTTTCATTCCAACATCAAGACTGTGAAGCTAAATCTGTTAATAACGGGGAAAATCGTTGACCATGGCAATGGGACATTTAGTGTTTACTTCAGGCATAACTCCACTGGTCAAGGGAATGTATCTGTGAGCCTAGTGCCCCCTACAAAAATAGTGGAATTTGACTTGGCACAACAGACAGTGATTGATGCCAAAGATTCCAAGTCCTTTAACTGTCGAATCGAGTATGAAAAGGTTGACAAGGCTACCAAGAACACACTCTGCAACTATGACCCTTCAAAAACCTGTTATCAGGAGCAGACCCAGAGCCATGTGTCATGGCTCTGCTCCAAGCCCTTTAAAGTAATCTGTATTTACATTTCCTTTTATAGTACAGATTATAAACTAGTACAGAAGGTGTGTCCTGATTACAACTACCACAGTGACACACCCTACTTCCCATCAGGGTGAAGACCAACAAGTGTCTGAGACTGAAGCCTGGGGAATAAAAGAGGTCATATGACAGGGCTGTAACCTCAAGGAGGAAGGCCACATCTATTGCCTGGAATGTGTCTACCCACTGCTGCTGATGTCAAATGGCTGCAAATATGTTAGTGGAAAACAATCTAATGTAATTTTTGCCCAGTCAGCTCCATGTATCAATCTAGTTGTAAATCACTATGGATTTGAAATAAAACCATACAGAGACACACACTCTTTCAGCTCACATCTATTGAGATTCCTGTTAAGAGAGCTTTCGTTGTCTGATATCTAAGGTTTCAGGATAACCTATCATCAAGCAAAATGGATTAACTAGACAGAGAATGGTTTCTAATGCAGACTGTTATGGAAATCTCTTTGAAAGTCCTTTGAGTACACGCCAATCAATAATCCCCACTCATGCATTCTACTGCTTGGAGTAGCTGTACTGGTAAATAATACTGTAGGAGTAAATACTTGTTAAAATGGGAAAAATGTGTGTCTAGAGTTCAGTATTCCTTATTATATGAACACAGCAAAGCATCGTGACTTTTTTCCAGCATACAGTAGGCACATTCGAGGTGGTGTTAGGTGGCTCTTTTTCCGTGGAGTGAGCCTGTTACTAGTAAAGATGGGCAAACATTTGGAATTTACATGTGGGCAGACATTCTGATTTCTTGTTTCTCTGACTCTTTAAGCTCTGATTCTTTAAACCTGGTTGAGTTTAGGCCAGCTAAGATACTTAAAAACTCTCCAACTGATCTCTTAAGAAGGAAAATGCCTGGCAGAGAACATGTAAGTTATAAGTGGCTGTCTTATCTTTATTACAAAATATTGTAACAAATTCAATATCCTAGTCTTCATTTGTATGAATGGTTTGTATTGTACATAATTTAACCAGTGTTATTTGAGCTGCTTATTAATATTAACTTGTAATTGTCTCTCTGCTTGTTATTGGTTAAAAACAATCAAGGAAATGAGGAATCCATTTTATCAATGTAGCTGTAAACTCCATTAAAAGACAGAACTATGTACAAAGCATTTATTCAGCTAAAGTATTGTTGAAAGCTATACATATACATTACAGTCTGTCTGTATTTAGATATTTTATTTCCAGAGAAAAAAAATGAACTGTACATAAAAATAAAAAATCTTAAAGTTGAGTTTCAATATGTACTGTGTAGATAGTAGTTTAAATGGTTCTGACAAGTGGATAACATTCCAAGGCTGACATGGTTTTCAATCTTGTCTCTTTGCATATGTACATATATATACATATATTTATAAATCTCTGTGGGTGCATGTTTGTGTGTGTGTATATGTACGTGTGCGTGCATATGTACGTGTGCGTACGTGTGTGTGCAAATACATATAGACATATATGTAGAATATATAAAAATTTCTCGGGCCCTATTCCTAACAAGCAGATCTCATTACTGAAGGTCTGGCTAACTTGAGTGGAAGCCCCCACTTGCGTAAGAAACTGCAGGAGCAGGGCTTTATGTAAAATGATTCATTATCATTTAGAAGTGGGGAAACATGGAGCCACTCTCTCTGTCCACAGGCCTGCCCTTGCCTTAATTCTAGCCTCCTCTGAGGCACTGATCTCTATGGAATGAAGAGATCCCTTTTTATGGTACAAGGGAATTTTCTTCCTATAAACAAAAAGCTCATAGCTTTTATATATATTTTTTTTTTCTTGTGTATAGTGGCATACTTTACCCCCACCATCCAGATAACCAGCAAGTATGAGGCCTGAAAGAAGGCTGCCCAAAGAAGAACTCAGTATTTCATCTCATATCTTTCAGCATTATCATTCCTGGCAATGCTTCTTTCCCCTTCCACCCTCACCACCAGGTTCTGTGCTCTTGTGTCAAAGCTGTGAATGCAGATATAGGTCAGCTTCCAAATATACACAGCATCATGAACAGCTTCTCCAAAATCCCAATAAACATTCCACTAATGTTTCAAGAAGTGTGAAGTTTGAAACCACTTCCAGTTCTGGACCTCTCTTGCTGGAATGAGCAGAACGTAAATGAGAATGAAACAAAGCAAATGGATAATATTATTGACAAGTAAATATTTTCCCATTGATGTATGAGTAGGAGAGGAGACTTCTTCCATATTATTATTGCTTTGTCTCCTTCAAACAGATATGCTTGTGGGAATTTCTTCGTTATACATGACATTTCCCAGGACAACCCTGTGACCCTGGATCCTGTGTAGATTTGGAGAAAGAAATCGTCCAAGCCATACAGTCCAGATTCTGATCTCATTCAGGAATATGCTGAGATACAATTATTTTTTTTTCTTTGATGGGAATTGTGATTATACTGGTAGTGTTTCCTCATTTGTGCTCTATGGAAAGTAACTGTTCTGAATATAAACCATAATCTGTGCTATGACAAAGAGTAAAATCTTGGCTCTGTTACAGTCAATGGGAATTTTGCTATTGAGTTCAATACAAATTTCCATTTAATAGTATGTAGAATTCCAGTGTTAAGTATGATTAACAATCTTAGCAATCTATATTATGATTGAGCATTACACGCTTTGTGTTCTCATTTATATTTCTGAAAAATGGATGTGAAATACTATTACTGGTACAGTTTCATTATTTTCTTTCTTTTTTAAAATTTCCCATAAATGTATGAAGTATATACATTCTGTTCATATATATATATTTATAAACTTTTCAAGTAACATGAATACAAAAAGGAAGTATTCATCATGCAATGGTTTTGATCCTTTTAATTGTCATAGTTGGTACTTTATCTGCTTCTGTCACAGTCATTCATATTATGTTTTAGTCTTAAGCCTTTGAAGAACTTGTTATTCTTCATAAGCATTCTTGAGTTTGAACTTGTAAGAGTTCTTTTGGTGATCTGGTTCTGAAACAGTGATCTAGTATCAAAATATATAATGTGTTACTTAGGTGCTAGTTCATTGCATTTCATTCAGTCTCTTTGGGAAATATTTTGTGTTTCCTAACTTTGTTAAAGAATGCTTTTTGTTTTGCCATTTGAAAAAGGAATTTAACGAACATTAATGTGCTTATTCAGTTAAACAATGTATGTATGGGTATCTGGTTCTTCCACATGAACAATGCCTTAATGGAGTGCTAGGCCAGGCAAATGTTGCCTCATTATAACTCACTAATTCTAGACGTAATAAAGATGTATATCTCTAAAGGTATATTTTTAGGATTAAAGAAGGTCGAGTTATTTATTTTTAAGAAATTAAGAGACTGGTTTTATTCACTTTTTTTTTTTTTAACATTTAAAGCATGCTTTGTGTCTTCTTTTCACTGCGTAGAGAAGTCACAAATAGGGATATTTTAATGGAACCAGTTATTCCTGTTGCAAAAATACATGGATCATGCACTTGAGTAAAGATCAATATATCAAACTTACCTTGGATGCAACAGTGATAGAACTTACGTGTTTTGAGAAAAGGAATCCAGGATATAGGAAGCAGGTCGTTTTACATTGCAAATGTCACTGATCAAAGTTCTAAACAGTGATGGAAAGCTGGAAGACTTTCATTTGTTAGTTTTATCAAAATACTTCAGCATGGGACAGAAAATACAGTTTCTTCCGTCCTTATGAAATCACTCATAAAGTTTTATCCCTTTCTCCCCTTTTCCCAAGTTTGCATGGATAGTAAGCAAACTAATAAATTCATCTTTACAAAGTCCTTGTCTTTCAAAGTTTCCCTTACTTAAAAAGTATGATGTCAGAAACTGTTGAAATTTACTGCACTTATTTACAATGAACTAAGAAAGATTCAAACTCCATTTATAGGACAGCAGAAAGGAAGTCTTGTAGTGTTCTGGTGCATATTAGCCTAGTAATACTACTCAAGAGGTTTACTCAGAGGGCAGTTTTACTGTGATAAAATCATTACATCCTCATGCATTCTGAGTCTTATGCTGTAACTTGGAATCCTTCAGGAATATCATAAACTACTCTGAAAACCATGTGTTAGAGAATTGTGGAGGAAAACAAGGATTACAAAATAACTGCTACTTTTACAGTAAAACCAACCTAAAGCTTAAGCATCTGATCTGAAGAATTATTCTTCACCGGAAGACACTGAACTGCAGTCTTAGCATCGTATGAGTCCTCCATGTCCTTCTGTGACAGATGTGGTCATATTGTATCTGACTGCATCTAGAAATGGAAAAGAATCTTGTCTCTAGTAATCTGCACTTAACTGTGTGTCTAACATTGCCAGAGATCTCAAATGGCTGGCTGCATCAAGGATCTGTTGTGCTAGGAGCTGCATAATAGAGAAACGTGTAGACAGTACCTATTCAGAAACAGTTTTGATGCCAAGAACTCCCAATTTTCAAAACAGTGTATTGTAGAATTCTTGTAAATCATGTGTGTATAAATTTGAGGCATATTGTTTACGAAATTGTTTTTTTTTTTTTTTAAAACCCCCACATTTCAAAAAAAAAAAATTTAAAAAAATTTTTTTTTTTTTTTAAAACCCCCACATTTCAAAAAAAAAAAATTTAAAAAAATTTTTTTTTTTTTTTAAAACCCCCACATTTCAAAAAAAAAAAATTTAAAAAAATTTTTTTTTTTTTTTAAAACCCCCACATTTCAAAAAAAAAAAATTTAAAAAAATTTTTTTTTTTTTTTAAAACCCCCACATTTCAAAAAAAAAAAATTTAAAAAAATTTTTTTTTTTTTTTAAAACCCCCACATTTCAAAAAAAAAAAATTTAAAAAAATTTTTTTTTTTTTTTAAAACCCCCACATTTCAAAAAAAAAAAATTTAAAAAAATTTTTTTTTTTTTTTAAAACCCCCACATTTCAAAAAAAAAAAATTTAAAAAAATTTTTTTTTTTTTTTAAAACCCCCACATTTCAAAAAAAAAAAATTTAAAAAAATTTTTTTTTTTTTTTAAATACGCACAGTTCTCAAAAAAGTAGTATTTTTCAATACTTATATATACACATCAATGAAATATAAGCATTCATGACCCTTTGCAAAACTTCTGATTCCACTGTATCAGTCTGGAATTCATGAGAAGTGAAGCAACTGATTAATTTTGTGCATGTATTAAAAAATGGAAACCTTAATGGTCATTTATACTAAAGTCCTTTGGCGAGTTACCCTGTTGCTGCTTTAATGTATGAGTATGAATACTAGTTCCAAAAACATTTTGACAGTGGAAGCACAAACTATTGCCTAATAAAAAGTATTTTTCTTTTTTTTCTTTTTTTTTTTTCCAAAGAATGGGCTTTTCTTACTGAAATTATGCTAAAATCCACAGATGGATTAATTTTCTTGATGAATTTGAATAAGGTTAACACTTTTTAATGTTTGTGAAAGGAGAATTCATTAAAATTAGTGTTATTTGTACAGATAGAGTAAATTGCAGGACTGTGGGAATGTTGTTTCCTTGGGTAGTACACACCTGACAATATGATCTAATACATGTAGCATGATCCCTCCAAAAGGACTGATGCATCCTATGGTTAAAAATAAAATCTTTTCATTGTTTTCTATATTCCCTGCTAATTAGTTAAAGTACTATCATTACCCAAACTAACAAGGAGATTGCTTTGTTTTGTACAGGAGTTTATTTTCTCATTGGAATATGTCTATACAATTTTTTTATTCTGTTTGAAGGGCACAGCTGGTGGATCTCTCCCTCAGCTTGGACTGACATCCTGTGCACAGTAGACATAGTTTAAAATCCCTTATCTTAGTTTGCCTTTGGGATAAAGAAAGAAATGTAGTTTATTGTAGGTGCTTTAGACCAGAAGAAAACCAATGACTCACTTGAACTTTAATTCTAAGAGAGCTTTAGTCCCATTGTCAAAGCTAGGATTTGAGAAGATGGAGCATGTATGAGATTTATTCCTAGTTCAAAGTGTACTACAGCCATGTAGCAAGTAGAGACATTGCTATGAGGGAAGGCTTTAGTGGTCTGTGAAATGAACTTCTGCCTATTGTTAACAGGAAATGAGAGGGACAAAACAAAATTTATAAAGTTGAAACAATTCATACACATCAGTGAAGATGTGGAAATCAGCAATTTCAAATATAAATCAGATACTTTGTCCAGTATTTTATGGAAGGACTACTGAGGTCCTGGGAAAAGCCCAGTGTACTTACAGATCTGTTCATCATGGAAAATAAGTAAAAACAGAGT